GAAATGTCTTGCCACAAGGAATACATATGTGAAATATAAAAGTCCGACTATCTACTGTTTAAAAGTTGTGACCAAGGTTAAAGTTTTTAAAAAGTAATTAAAACTCCAAGGTCAAGGTCAAAGGGTACAAGTTATTGGTATCCATTGATAGGTCTTCTCACAGGGATTACATATGTGAAGTAAGAAAGCCTTAGTCCTCACTGTTCAAAAGTTATGGTCAAGGTTAAAGTTTTTTCATAAGTACGTAAATCTCCAAGGTCAAGGTCAAAAGGTCAAGGTTGTTGTATCCAATGAAAGGTTTTGCCACAAACAATACATATGTGAAATATGAAAGTCCTAGTACCTACTATTCAAAAGTTATGGCCAAAGTAAAAGTTTGAAATTTTTGTGTAAAAGTGGGTCAAACTCCAAGGTCAAGGTCAAAAGGTCAAATTTGGTGATACCCAAAGAAAGGTCTTGTCACAAGGAATACACATGTGAAATATGAAAGTCATAGCTCCACTAAATCAAAAGTTATGGGCAAGGTTAAAGTTTTTGTGACGGACAGACTGACGGACAGACTGACGGACAGACAGACAGACGAATGAGATTTAATGTCCCCTCGCTTTCGCGAAAGCGGGGGACAATAAAATATTCATATATGTTTTTAAACCCAGAAAAACCAGTGGAGGTACAACGTAAACAAACCGGAGTGACATACCTTTCTCTCTTGTATTGTTTAAAGGGGTATTTTTTGTGGAGAGATTATTGTGGGGTTTTTACGATTTTTTCCTTTGGTACACATGATGAATAAGTGTAATAAATACTTTTTTTTTAAATGTCCAACAAGCCTCGGGATTGAATATCGGGAGGGTGGGTTCCTGTTCCCAAATACCTGTGAACGATATGGTACGGTAACCTTTATTTCGTCCTTCAAAATCTGAAATTTCCTATATTGTTACACTGTCCTGAATTTTATTTTTGACAAACATGCATACAAGTTGAGGGAATTTGATCAACTCTTTTTAAGTGAAAAGAAATCACTTGAGTATGCTGAAGCTATTTCTGACATTGGTTTCCCTTTATCCCAGTGCTGGGGATTCATAGATGGTAAAGTAAGACCAATTTGCAGACCGCCGAAACATCAGCAAGTCGTTTATAGTGACCACAAACGCTTACATGGACTTAAGTTTCAGTCGATCACAATTCCCAACGGATTGATAATTCACATGTAGGGGCATGTCGAAACTCTCTCATAAATTTCATTTGTGGACTACAGAAAGAACCAGAAACTTCTTCAATCAGTCGTTTAATACATGTACTACTTTGTTGCGACGCTACTCACAAACTGCCATACTTATTTATATGGAAGCGTCACAAGTGATTACTTCAGCCTGCAACCTCCAACTCTTGAGGAGTATACTAGTATGTCTTGAGAAATTAACCTATTAAAATGGAAAGCAAACAATCAAACCGAATGTCATTTCTGCTATAAAAAAATATTTATTTATTCATTTATTTTTTGTGTCAGAGAAACGTTTTGTCATTAAATATTATTTAATTTCATTTATTTAAACATTTTGTTAAATCTCCATCATCATTTTATTGTGTTGCTCCTCGTTTTCAAGTCTCTGAAACCTTTCCTGCCTGTCTGTTTCGAACCTATCCCTTTCAAATTTAAATTCTTCCTTCATCAATGCGAGTTCCTCTTGTTTGGTTGCTATTTCTGCTTCCGCCTTTTCCTTTAAGTAAGTGACAACGGAGGTAGCTTTTTTCGGCATATTTCTGAGGCCTTCGTCTGAAGTAAGTTTTGATTTAAATTAAATAATAAAAGGCAGATGTGTTCCGTTTAATGAAAAAAAAAAATTAAAATGGCCCGATCGTACCCAAAATCGTTTTAAAAAATTTATAAGGCAGATGTGTTCCGTTTAATGAAAAAAAAAAATTAAAATGGCCCGATCGTACCCAAAATCGTTTTAAAAAATTTATAATTTTGTGTGAAAGATTTTCATTTCTCAATAAAATTATACAGTAAAACTAGGTTATAACGAAGTCACTAGGAACTATAAAAATACTTAGCTACATGTATATTGATTTCGTAATTCGTTAAATTCGTTTAAGAAAAATTCGTTCAATTTATATATAATGTAGCTGGGGATTCATTATAACTTCGCTATATTCGTGAATTCGCAATATCCGTGTTCGCACTAAATGAGTTTTATTGTATCCTTTTACTTTATGTAGGATTTATTAAATTTTAAATTTCTTGGGTGTGGGGCGTGTGTTCAATTCCGTTGTTTTTATATTTTCTGCTGTAGTTTTTGGAATAAACAAATATTTACCGGAGAAAAAACAATTAAAATGAGCAAGAGGCCCACGGGCCTTATAGGTCACCTGAGTATTATGTAACAACTTTCCAATAATTAAATTAAATTTGCGGTTTAAACCTAAAGCCATGAAATTCACAGTTTTGAAAGAGGCACCATTGTTAATCATAACTATACACTTACCATGCTTACTTTCAAATTGGATACATGACCTTAATACCAAAAGGTAGATCAAACGGACAAAGAGAAAATGCATTTCCACTTTATAACCACTAGCTGTGCACTCCCAACTCACTGACCCTGGGGCCACATATTTCAACATTTTGGAAATTATATCCTAAATTTTCAAGTTTATTTCACCATAAATGGTTGATAAATACCAAAGAGCAGCCTTCACAGCATTACTTTATTTCCAGACTATGAACCCCCCACCCCACCCCCTGTGGTACCCCTTACCCTGAGGCCCTGAAGTGAACATTTTGGAAGAGGCACCTAATATGTACTTAGTTTATAGGCATAATACCCAGGAGCAAAGGAAAAGATTTCCAAAGAATTCATGCATTTTCACTATATAATCAATAGCGCCCCACCCTCACACCAGAACCTCTGACCCTGGTCCATGAAATTCAAAATTTTGGAAGAGGTAGCCTTATTCAATATAAAATATATACTTGTTTAGTTTATTTAATACCCAGGAGCAGAGAAGAGGATTTTTAAAGAGTTGATGCATTTTCATTATATAATCATTAGAGCCCCGCCCTAACACCAGAACCCCTGACCCGGGGGCCATGAAATTCACAATTTTGGAAGAGGCACCTTTATTCAACATAACTATGTACTTAGTTAGTTTATTTAATGTCCAGGAGCAGAGAAGAAGATTTTCAAAGAAATCATGCATTTTCACTATATAACCTATTTAGCGCCTCCCTAGCACTAGAACCGCTCTCGGGCGCCCCTGGGGCAATGAATTTCACAATTTTGGTAAAGGACTCGATGCTAATAAATCATGCCAAAAGTTTTACTGCTTGATGTGCATGAGTAAAGAAAAAAGATTTTTAAAGATGGCATTAATTTTAGTGATTTTAACCTCACCCCCAGGCCCCCCCGGGGGGGGGGGTAACAATTTTTGTTCCCCTTCACCCACGGATGCTTTGTGCCAAATTTGGTTAAAATTGGTTAAGCGGTTGCAGAGGAGAAGCTGAAAATGTTCAAATATTAACGCACGACTCACTGACGACAAAAACGAATAGTTAAAAGTTTAATGAAATACACGACAAAACAAAGTACAACCTTTAAGTTGAATGGAAAAAAAGCTCAAAGGGAGGTACATCATGTATAACATAGTACAACAGAAAAGTTTTTTTGTAGTACGTGAGAAGAAGAGGCCTTTAATGAAATTGATAGCTGTAGAATTAAGTAATACAAACCCAAATTTTATGGGAGTGTACTTCTTATAATTATCTATTTCTGTTCCTTAACTTATTGCGGGACTTCGCAGTATTTCGTCATGCTATTTTTCATCTAATAAACTGTCAGTAGAATCTGAAAGATATTTTTAGGAATAGTTCTGTTACAATGTAGCTGTAAAAATTCCCCCGCGCTTGCGTGGGATTTCAGCTAGTATTATTTATTTAGCCCCGCCCTAGCACTAGAACCACTGACCTTGGGGCCATGAATTTCACAATTTGGGTAGAGGACTCGATGCTGATTACAATCATGCCAATAGTTTGACTGCTTGATGTTTAGGATTAAAGAAGATTTTTGAAGGTTGCATTAATTTTAGGGTTTTTGCACCATCCCTCAGGCAGGCAGATTAGATGAAATTCAGTTTTGTTCCGCTTCACTCATAGCTGCTTTATGCCAATATTGGTTGAAATCGGTTGAACGGTTGCAGAGAAAAAGCTGAAAATGTTCACGCACGATGACGGACGAAAACTGAGCGACTCAGTTGAACTAAAAATGAGACAAAAATAACTTATGCTTTTAAATGTTCTTCAATGGCAAAAAAAAGACAATGTGAGAGGTATTTATAGTGGGTTAAATAATAAATATTTAATCGTTTATAGTTTTATTATAATAGTGATAAATAGGGGACAGAAAGATATTAGGTCAATTATTTTGTTGACCCTAATCAAACTAATTTTCTTGCTTTTGGGCAACAAAGCTTCATTTATCAGTTTATGGATCCTCTAAATTGTACTTAGGTGACCGTTAAGGCCCTTTGTCCCCTTGTTTTAACCAAGGAATATAGAGGTTTTTAAAAGAAATAATGTATTTTCATTACTACCAATAGTGCGATGCAATTACACCAGAAATCATGACCTTCGGGACCACTAATTTAACAATGTTGAAAAAGCTCACGATGATCTTAATTATTTATCCTTTTTGTAAAGATTGTTCTAATTTGATTAATTTAAGCATCACCCCTTGGACCTTAGGTTGTATGGGTCATGAATTTCATAGATTTTGTTCCCCATTATCCATAGATGCAATAAGCCCAAATTGGTTGAAATTTCTTATAACAGTTTCAGTGTGTCTTAATAGTACATCGCACGACGACAGACTAAACAGTTACAGGTACATGTATAAATAAGTCTACTCAGTTGACCTTTGATTTTTACATGTAGGACCCATAACGTGCGGAATGTCATTTATTTGCAGCACCTTGTTGAATAACTAATGATGTAAGTTGTTGACACGCATTGCCAGCCATAAAAAGATTGTAGATCAGTGATGATCTTTACAGGCTATATAATTATAAGCGTTTGTCAGTAACATGGATGGAATAAAAACCATAAAAGATAGATTTGTCGGCAAATGGAAACTCGATAGAAGTGAACGTTTTGAAGATTTCTTACGAGAATGTGGTAAGCTGTCATTTTAATAATTAGGTCTGTTGATTTGTTGTTTACCTCCTTAAGGAAAAAAAATCGCCGTCCTGAAGATGTCTTCCAAAAAACCTATTAACCGATTTTGGGAGAATACAACCAGCTCCTTTTACACAAACGAAGCATTAATTATTGTTATTTTATGAATCAAAAAGAAAGAATGGGCATAAGAAAGCGCACATACTTCAATAACAAGATGTCGACAAAATGTTGTGAAAGGTTAAGGCGTCATGTTTGGATAATTAATAAATATTTTTTATTTTTACCGGAGCGTGATATCTACATTCATTTTGTTTGCTTTGAATCTTCATAACTAAGTTTATTTTTGATAATTAAAAAAATATTTGCCGTTCCCTATGATGAGTCAAACTTAAGATACTAACTTCTAAGGGTGATGTTAAATTCTTTTTAGGCGATAATAATAATGTGTCCGTCCGTCTTGTCTGTAAGCAATTTATCAAAATGCTACTCCTTCTTCAGTTTTGATCTGATTTCTAAATTACAATATCGCCCGCGTGGCGCAGTGGATAAATGTCTGCACTAGAGTCCCAAAGTAAGGAGTTGATCCTTGCGTCACGGGTTGGAATCCCACTCTGGGACGTTGAGATCGGTCCTTCGGATGAGATTGTAAAAACCGCGAGGTCCCGTGTCACAGTTGGTAGGTGTTGGCTCAATCGGCCCTGAGTGCCGAGAATAGGACGAAATTTGCAACTCTCCACCGGCAACCGGTAGCGTCTTCATATGAGTGGAAAATTCTCGAGAGGGACGTTAAAAATATACAGTCAATTAATTTAAATAACAACAAACAAGTAGACTACACCAAGACACAAAATCATGTTTATCATGATCAGTTTTTGATTTCGATAAACGGTGTTACCGTAGTTACTAAAATTTAAAGAAATTCTTTGAAATACTTTCAAAATGCTACTCCTATTAGAGATTTACTAAGATTGCATTTGACACATAAGCAGTCTACACGAAGACACATACTTCTTTACACCAGTATTTGATTTCGATTACCGTATTGTCACGGTTACAAAAATCGAGAATTTTCTTTGAACTACCTTCAAACTAAACGCTAACCTTCCTACAGTGTTGGCCTGATTTTAATATAACTTTGCAAGCGAGTTGACAGCATTATGATGCATAATTATACAAATCGGAGATTGGTTTATATTAACGATGTTGATAAAGTTACTAGAGATAAAAATTTATGTGAAATACTTTCAAAACGTTACTACGTGTTCTCTTTATATTTTGTTTAGATTTCAGTATAACCTTTGCACACAAGTAGACTCATTAAGATTCATAACTTTCTTCCTTAATTTTGTTTTTGATGAATGGTCTTGCCATTGTTACTAAAAAATATAAAGTTCTGTAGAGTTCGTTTGAAAGGCTACTCCTACAGTGTAGGTCTGATTGCAATATTTCCACGAAAGAGACTAAATCAAAGATTATTAAGTTATTGCTGTTGCAAAGTTTCAAGTACGCTATTTACCTTTCTCTTCCTTTGTTACGGTAGAGCAAGAGTCTTGAAAGAAACGTCTTGTTGCATTAAAAGTTAATGAAAGAGTACAAGATTTATTTGAGTTTTTGGTTCCCGATCGCATCAGTCATCAAGAATGCCTCTTTTTTTCAAGGTGTAAATTTCTTTGCTCGGAAGATGGCTGGTTTGGCTACACCAGTTTCTGAAATCTCTGTGAAAGATGATGATCAAGTGCATATTTCTATGGCTACTGCTTTTATGACACAAGAAGACACATTCAAGCTGGGTGAAGAATTTGAAAAGGACATGCGTGGGAACAAGATGGTGGTAATCTTATTCTATAAATAGTTTTTGTTCCATATATATTTAAAAACACTTTACTCTCAAATACATATTGTTGTATATATCTTCTGAATAATTGTCAATTATAGGTCAAAATTTGCATTCCGCTGCTTGCAAATGGTGGTGTCTCCATCATCCATATGTGAAAAAAAAAATTCCAAAGATCGTACCAATATATTATGCCATCAGTTTTTGCCCTCCTCAAAATGACATTTGTAATTGACGTACTATTGCCACATGCCTTGACATTGGTTACCACAAAATATGGGATTTTAGCTCACCTGATCCGAAAAATCGAATGAGCATTTCTGTTCACCCATTGTTCGTCCTTACGTAAATTTTCACTTTTTCAACATCCTCAAGAACCACTGGGCTAATTTTTACCAAACTTGGTACAGAGCGTCCTTCGTCAAAGGGGGGGGGGGTGAAATTGTTTAAATGAATAGCAAAGCTCCATTACAAGGGGGACTAATCAAGAAAAGACGAAATAGGGTGGGTCATTTAAAAAAATCATCTCAGGAAGCACTAGTCAAGAAAAACTGAAACTTACTTGAAAGTGAGAGAGTATATTCTCATTAAAATTGTTCAAATCATTACCCCACAATAGAAAATTCAAGTTTTTACATTGAAATTTATAGGAAAAATCTTTAAAAATGTTCTTATTAAAAACCACTGGACCAGGAAAGATGAAAATTGTATGGAAGCATTCTGGGATAGTGTTAATTATAAATTGTTTAATGCATGATCCCCGCGAGCAGGGCGGAGCCACAATAGGGAATCCAAATTTGACATAGAAATATAAAGAAGAAATCTTTTTAAAAAAAACTTCCTTCAACAACCACGGGGCCTGAAAAGCGGATGGGGCCACAATAGGTTTTACAAAGGGAAAAATCTGGTGAAGATCAGAATGGTTAAAGTTATTAAGGTGAGCATTTTGACCCATGAGCCCCTTGTTTATCTTTCCCTCATCACCAATTATTGTCGCACCGTAACGCGGGAAAATTTGAAACTTGTTTCCCCCTTAAGAATCTGTTGAATGTGGTGGTTATCGACGTAAATCTATATGTATTTTTGAAGGAAATTATTCGACTTTTTTTTATGTAGACACTTGTTTGTAGTAGATACATATGAGAGCAACAACTTTTAAAATTGTGAAGTCGCACCCTTAGGCATTGAACTTGTAACAATACAAAATAATTTTAATATAGACGTATTTCACAGAATTGTTATTAATATAATGTATCATCGAAATCAGTGCATGCATTGTTGGTTCTCTGAATGGATTTTCACCGGATAATAAACTACATAATTTTTTTTTCTAGAGAAATTTGCATTGCTAATTTTTTATTTGCTTGTTGCAAAAGTTACTTTTGGCGTTAGCTTGCCCTGTACAGAGTGTGCCAAGCAGGTATGAGCTTTCCTTGAGTTGATCCTAAAGTTTTAATCCCTCAGCGGGAGTTTGACACTGGTTCTAAGGATAGGATCGTGAAACCAGAGTCCTGCATAACAACAAATGTATACAGACGAAGTTCCCTCGAACTCATTGGTCACAAGTGCCAAATACATACACATGTACAGGTCTAAAACCTCATCCTTAAAACAGTATTTGGTTGCTGCCTAACACGTCGAGTAAAACATTTCATAGGGACTGAAAACAAGTAAATTACTTGTATAAGCTGACTTTTGAAAGAAAAAGAGTAAATTGAAAATAGAACATCATGATACAAAACAAATTCACATGACTGATAATAAGTAAAAAGCTGGTCATTTTGAAGCTTATTTTGTCAAAATATCAGTTGTAAATGATCCAATTTATACATGTATCATCTATTTCTTTAAACTGATATGTTTATGCATATTTTCGCCAAGAGTTTTGTATAAAACCATGGATACATGTATCAATGTAAATTTCAAGTTGCAATTAATATGACAATAATTAAAATTTTGTAAATTCCTTTTGTGAAATATGATTTTCACCTTCAAAATGCTACCATGATTAATCATTTCAAACCGTTAAGTACAAAATATGTTCGTTATACATTGAATTCCTTAAGTGGTGTCATAACTCGTTAAAAATCCGTATACTTTATATATACTTGTTTTCTTATTCATAATGATAAATTCTTGGAGGGTACTAAACGACATATGCCATTTTTGATTACCCTTTATAATAGTCTGCTAGATTTTCAGCTCTACTGGTCAGAGACCAGAAGAGCTTATGCGATAGTAAGGTGTCCGTCGTCCGTCCGTCTGTCTGTCTAGCTGGCCGTCTGTCTGTCTGTAAACAATTTTTCAAAACGCTATTCCTCCTACAGTTTTGGTCTGATTTTAATATAACTTGGCACACAAGTAGACTGCACTAAGATACATAATTCTGTATATCGGTTTTTGATTTCGATGAACGGTGTTGCCGTTGTTACTAAAAATAGAAATTTCTGTGAAATTCCTTTAAAATGCTACTCCTTCTACAATTTTGGTCTGATTTTAATATAACTTGGCACAAAAGTAGACTACAGTAAGATACAAAACATAGTGCATCGGTTTTTGATTTCGATGAACGGTATTGCCATGGTAACTAAAAATAGAATTTTCTGTGAAATTCCTTAAAAACGCTACTCCTTCTACAGTTTTGGTCTGATTTCAATATAACTTGGCACACAAGTAGACTACACTAAGATACATAAAATAGTACATCTGTTTTTGATTTCGATGAACGGTATTGCCATGGTTACTAAAAATAGAATTTTTTGTGAAATTCCTTTAAAATGCTACTACTTCTACAGTTTTGGTCTGGCCCAAAGACCATAAACTGAGAACAGACTTAAGTCAAAATCTGAAATTTAGATATTTTGAATTTTATTAAACATGTACGCTGAAGAATCTGCAGATTTGTATATTACTGAAATTTAAATACATGATGGAAATTTTGTTTCATTATCAAAATTATTTCGCAAGTTTTATTGATTTGAAATTTTGACTTAAGTCTGTACTCAGTTTATGGTCTTGGGGCCTGATTTCAGTATAGCACACAAGTAGACTACTCAAAGATACATAAAATAATGCATTGGATTTTGATTTCAATGAACGGTGTTGCCATGGTTACTAAAAATAGAATTTTCTGTGAAATTCTTTATAACGCTACTCCTCCTACAATTTTGGTCTGATTTCAATATAACTTGGCACACAAGTAGAATACACTAAGATACATAAAACAGTGCATCGGTTTTTAGGTCACCTGAGTAAACTCAGGTGACCTATTGCTATCCGTTTTCGTCCGTCGTCGTTCGTCGTGTGTTAACATTTGAACATTTTCAGCTTCTTCTCTGCAACCACTGAACCAATTTCAACCAAATTTGGCACAAAGCATCTATGGGTAAAGGGGAACAAAAATTGTGAATTTCATGATACCTGCCCCCCTGGGGCCTGAGGGGTGGGGCCAAAACCACTAAAATTAATGCAATCTTTAAAAATCTTCTTCTTTACTCCTGGACATCAAGCAGTCAAACTGTTTGCATGATTGTAATCAGCATTGAGTCCTCTACCAAAATTGTGAAATTCATGGCCCTGGGGTCAGGGGTTCTAGTGCTAGGGCGGGGTTAAATAAGTATATAGTGAAAATGCATTATTTCTTTGGAAATCTTCTTCTCTACTCCTTGGTATTAAATAAACCAACTAAGTTCATAGTTATGATGAGCAAGAGTGCCTCTACCAAAATTGTGAATTTTATGGCCCCAGGGTGAGGGGTTCTGGTGTTAGGGCGGGGCTCTATTGATTATATATAGTGAAAATACATGATTTCTTTGAAAATCTTCTTCTCTGCCCCTGGGTATTAAATATACTAACTAAGTGCATAGTTATGATGAGCAAGAGTGCCTCTACCAAAATTGTGAATTTTATGGCCCCAGGGTCAGGGGTTCTGGTGTTAGGGCGGGGCTCTATTGATTATATATAGTGAAAATACATGATTTCTTTGAAAATCTTCTTCTCTGCCCCTGGGTATTAAATATACTAACTAAGTGCACAGTTATGATGAGCATGAGTGCCTCTACCAAAATTGTGAATTTTATGGCCCCAGGGTCAGGGGTTCTGGTGTTAGGGCGGGGCTCTATTGATTATATATAGTGAAAATACATGATTTCTTTGAAAATCTTCTTCTCTGCCCCTGGGTATTAAATATACTAACTAAGTGCATAGTTATGATGAGCATGAGTGCCTCTACCAAAATTGTGAATTTTATGGCCCCAGGGTCAAGGGTTCTGGTGTTAGGGCAGGGGCTCTATTGATTATATAGTGAAAATACATGAATTCTTTGAAAATCTTCTACTCTGCTCCTAGGTATTAAATAAACCAACTAAGTGCATAGTTATGATGAACATGAGTGCCTCAACCAAAATTGTGAATTTTATGGCCCCAGGGTCAAGGGTTCTGGTGTTAGGGCGGGGCTCTATAGATTATATATAGTAAAAATACATGAATTCTTTGAAAATCTTCTTCTCTGCTCCTAGCTATTAAATAAACTAACTAAGTGCATAGTTATGATGAGCAAGAGTGCTTTTACCAAAATTGTGAATTTTATGGTCCCAGGGTCAGGGTTTCTGGTGTTAGGGCAGGGCTCTATTGATTATACACTGTATATTGAAAATACATGAATTCTTTGAAAATCTTCTTCTCTGCTCTTAGGAATTAAATAAACTAAGTACATAGTTATGATGAGCAAGAATGCCTCTTTTAAAATTATGAATTTTATGGCCCCAGGGTCAGGGGTTCTGGTGTTAAGGGGGCGGGGCTCAATTGATTATTTAATGAAAATACATTAAATCTTCGAAATTTTTTTTCTTTGTCTCTGGGTATAAAGCAGATGAACTACCTTTATAGTTATGATGAGCAAGGGCCCTAATCTTTCAACCAATATTGGCATATAGCATCTATGGGCGAAGGGGAACAAAAATTGTGAATTTCATGGTCCCTGCCCCCCTGGGGCCTGGGGGGTGGGGCAAAAACCACTAAAATTAGTGCAATCTTTAAAAATCTTCTTCTTTACTCCTGGACATCAAGCAGTTAAACTGTTGGTATGATTGTAATCAGCATTGAGTCCTCTACCAAAATTGTGAAATTCATGGCCCCAGGGTCAGGGGTTCTGGTGTTGGGGGGGGGGGGGGGCTCTATTGATTATATAGTGAAAATTCATTAAATCTTTGAAAATCTTCTTCTCTGCTCCTGGGTATTAAATAAACTTATTAAGTTCATAGTTATGATGAGCAAGAGTGCCTCTACCAAAATTATGAATTTTATGGCCCCGGGGTCAGGGGTAATGGTGTTAGGGCGGGGCTCTATTGATTATATAGTGAAAATGTATTAAATCTTTGAAAATCTTCTTCTCTGCTCCTAGGTATTAAATAAACTAACTAAGTACATAGTTATGATGAGCAGGAGAGCCTCTACTACAATTGTGAATTTTATGGCCCCAGGGTCAGGGGTTCTGGTGTTAGGGCGGGGCTCTATTGATTATATAGTGAAAATGCATTATTTCTTTGAAAATCTTCTTCTCTGCTCCTGGGTATTAAATTAACTTATTAAGTTCATAGTTATGATGAGCAAGAGTGCCTCTACCAAAATTGTGAATTTTATGGCCCCAGGATCAGGGTTATGGTGTTAGGGCGGGGCTCTATTGATTATATAGTGAAAATGCATTATTTCTTTTAAAATCTTCTTCTCTGTTCCTGAGTATTAAATAAACTAAGTACATAGTATGATGAGCAAGAGTGTCTCTACATAAATTGTGAAATTTATGGCCCCAGGGTCAGGGTTTCTGGTGTTAGGGCGTGGCTCTATTGATTATATAGTGAAAATGCATTAATTTTTTGAAAATCTTCTTCTCTGCTTCTGAGTATTAAATAAACTAATTAAGGACATAGTTATGATGAGCAAGAATGTTTCTACCAAAATTGTGAATTTTATGTCCCCATGGTCAGGGGTTCTGGTGTTAGGGTGTGGCTCTATAATGATTATATAGTGAAAATACATTACATCTATTAAAATCTTTTTCTCTAATTCTGGGTAATAAGCAGATGAACTATTTATATAGTTATGATGGGCTCCTCTTCCAGAATTTTGATTTCAAGGCCCGTGGGTCAGGGATACCAAAATGGGGGGGGGGGGGGGCTCTACTTATATACTGAAAATGAATTGTTTGAAATCTGCTCCTTGGTATTAATCAAGTAATTTTGATAAGCAAGTGTGCCTTTTCAAAAATTGTGCAATGTGTAGACCTAGGGTCAGGAGTTCATGTGTGGTAGGAGCACTCCTGATTATTGCTGAATATTACTGATAAGTTGACATACATTTTTGTTCCCCTACCCTGCTTATGGGTATTAAGTAAACAAACTAAACAATTGATAAGTGTAAAGTTATGATGAGCAATGGTGCCTCTTTCAAAATTTTGAACGCAAAAGCATCTAGCTTAAAACATGAACGAAATTCAATCATAAGAAAGTTGTTGTATGATGCTCAGGTGACCTATAAGGCCCGTGGGCCTCTTGTGTGATATTAAGGGTGCCTTTTTGAAATGTGTGGACCCTGGGGTCAGGGGTTTATGTCACAGTGTTAGGGGCACTACTGGTTAGTTGGAATGCATTTTTGTTTCCCTACCCTGCATATGGGTATTCAGTAACCAACCTAAGCAACTGCTAAGTGTATTGTTATGATGATCAATGGTGCCTCTTTCAAAATTGTGAATGTCATATAGCATCTGGCTTAAAACATGAATCAAATTCAATAACTGGAAAATTGTTGCATAATGCTCAGGTGACCTATAAGGCCCGTGGGCCTCTTGTTGATTTCAATGAAGTGTTGCCATTGTTACTAAAATAGAAATGTCTGTGAAATTCCTTGAAAACGCTACTGCTTCTACAGTTTTGGTCTGATGGCAATGGCTTCTTTTCTCATCCTTTGTTATAAGTACAAACCAGTAGAGCTACAGTCTCGACAGAGACTTCTGGTTAACAATATGAGCTGGTCTGCTGGTTTTGGTACTGTAACAATATGAGGTATATGTATTGTGCTTTTGAATTTGATCGATATGATCTTTTCCTAGGGTAAGTCATCCTTTGAAGATGGAAAGATTGTAATACAATACACCCCCACAGATCCCGACATAAAGCCACAGAAAGTAACCAGAGAAATCGTAAACGGAGAGTTAGTGCAGGTACATCTCGGAAAGTATTCATTTGGATAAAAGATAATTATCCACAATTGTTTACAGTATATTCTGTAATATTCTTTAATGTCACGTTGAATTCACCTGCATTTGGTGTTTGTGACTCGCAACTTATTCGCTATTAATCAACCGAGGCAGACTACTGACACATAAATTTAACAGGAATTTAATGTTTAAAGTGAGATCTATATTGTTTTTAAATTGATCACTGTTTGCTTGATTTTTTTTTATCGGTATAATTGTCTGTTTATGAAACATATGTCAGTTTATATGTACACTGACATCATCTTTACGAAAACATTAATACGAGGTCTCTCAAGAATTCATTTCAGACGTTCTTATATGTAAGAAATTTTCTCGCGCGTAATGACATAAAATAAGAAACAAAGAAAAATCTCAAGAGCATTTTACTTGAACTGATTTCATCCTTAAGGCAGTTGTCTTTCGTGACTAGGAATGAATTTCAGACGTCCTTATATGGATAAAATGTCCTCGGAAAGAAATAATGCACGAAACAATTTCACATGTGTTTTTATTATGGCAAGCCCCACCCCTTAGTAACTTTAAATTGTTCCTTTGGAGTTTATCCAACATTTAAAAACTTTGACCTTGGACATAACTTTTTTATGGTTAGTGTCATATTTTACAGGAATGTTCAATGAGAATAAAGTTTATTTTAGCTCACCTGAGCCGAAGGCTCAAGTGAGCTTTTCTGATCAGAATTTTTCCGTTGTCTGTCGTTGTTGTAGTAGTTGTCGTCGTAAACTTTTCACATTTTCATCTTTATCTAAAGAACCACTGGGCCAATTTCAACCAAACTTGCTACAAAGTATCCTTGGGTGAAGGGGATTCAAGTTTGTTCAAATGAAGGGCCAAGCCCTCTTCCAAGGGGATATAATTATGAATTAATGAAAAATTAATGGCATCTTTTAAAAATCTTCTTCTCCAGAACCATTGGGCCAAGAAAGATGAAACTCAAGTGGAAGCATCCTCAGGTAGTGTAGATTCAATTTAATTTAAATCATGACCCCTAGCTGTAGGGCGGGGCCACAATGGTCGATCACAGGTTTACATAGGAAAAATCTTTATAAATCTACTGCTCCAGAACCTCTAGGCCAGGAAAGATGACACTCATGTGGAAGCATTCTCAGGTAGTGTAGATTCATTTTTTTTTTCAAATCATGACCCCCGGGGTAGGGCGGGGCCACAATGGCTGATCAAATTTTAACATAGAAATATATAGGAATTTTTTTTAAAAAAATCTTCTTCTCCAGAACCACTGGGCCAGTAAAAATGAAACTTATATGGAAGCATCCTCAGGTAGTGTAGATTCAAATTTGTTCAAATCAAGACCCGCGGGGGTAGGGGCGGGCGGGCCACAACTGACGATCAAAGAATTACATAGGAATATATAGAAAAAATCTTTGAAAATTTTTCTCAAGAACCACTCAGCTGGACCAGGAAAGACAAAACTTGTGTGAAAACATCCTCAAGTAGACGAAGTTTGTAAAGTTTTCCATAGGAATGAATACATCGGAAATTTTTTTTAAACTCTTCTTTTTAAGAACCACAAACCATGATTGGCGACATCTTTATGTAAGCATCCTCACGTAGTGTTAATTCAAGTTTGTTCAAGTCATGAATGGGAAGCGGGGGTTGGGTACGATGGTACAAAATTGGCGATCAAAGTTTTGCCTAGAAATATCAAATAAAAGTTTCCCAAGAACAGAAAAGCCATGTTTAATCATATTGATATGGATGCTTTCTCAGGTAGTACAGAGTCATACTGGTTCAAATGAGGGCTGGTAGTTTAAAATTCCAGACCCCCCCCCCCATGTAAACTTCTCAATACTGAAGTGATTTCTGCTTTATTTCCTAGCCAGTGTGCTCAGGTGAGCGATGTGGCCCATGGACCTCTTGTTTATAACTTTTTTCATGATCAGCCTTGGCAAAAAGCTGTCAAATGGTTAATTCACATTTTAATTCACATACTAGTACACATCTTGTTTTAACATTTTCTGTCATGTTCAAAGCTTATTGACCCAGATTCCATCAATCATGTTTATAATGCAGACTTTCTTTCCTTTGTAGATTTTCACACTTTTAAACAAAACCTTTTATTTCAGACAATGGAGATTGGTGATGTGATCTGTAAACGCTTTTCGAAACGCATGGATTCCGAGGTTTAGTAAAAGGAAGAGACTGTATTTTCCATTATAATATATATACTCACTATCTTACAAGAAGGATCATTGGTTCATTATAATTTTATTAAGAATAAAGGAAATTCTTTATTATCTCAAGTTTTACAAATAATTAATGGAATCCTTTTTTAAGTGTGTGCAAATTTACGACTAATCCCTAACAAAAAAATACTATAGTTAACTATAGTTATAACTTTGACACTTTGAAAACTTTGATTTACTATAGTGATAACTTTGACACTTTGAAAAACTTTGACAAAAACTTTGACACTTTGAAAAACTTTGAGAAAACTTTGACACTTTGAAAAACTTTGGCAAAAACACTTTGAAAAACTTTGACGAAAACTTTGACACTTTGAAAAACTTTGACGAAAACTTTGACACTTTGAAAAACTTTGGCGAAAACTTTAACACTTTGAAAAACTTTATCGAAAACTTTGATACTTTGAAAAACTTTATCGAAAACTTTGATACTTTGAAAAACTTTATCGAAAACTGTGATACTTCGAAAAACTTTATTGAAAACTTTGACACTTCGAAAAACTTTATCGAAATCTTGGATACTTTAGCACTTTGAAAAAACTTTATCGAAAACTTTGACACTTTGAAAAAGTTTATCAAAAACTTTGACACTTTAAAAAAACTCTATCGAAAACTTTGACACTTTGAAAAACTTTATCGAAAACTTTGACACTTTGAAAAACTTTATCGAAAAATTTGACACTTTGAAAAACTTTATCGTAAACTTTGACACTTTGAAAAACTTTGGCGAAAACTTTCACACTTTGAAAAATTTTGACGAAAACTTTGACACTTTGAAAAACTTTGGCGAAAACTTTGAAACTTTGATTTACTATAGTTAACTATAGTTAGCTATAGTTAACTATAGTTAACCATAGTATTTTTTTGTTAGGGTTATTATCTTTTAATCTTCCGAAGATTATGGATAATGCTGTTTTATCAATAATCAGCAATCACTTTTCATTTCATTCATATGTTGACTGGATATATCCCAATGAACTTGAAATAGAAAATGAATATCATGCCACACTATTTAAATATCCATGAGGGCACGCTTGATTTGTCTACACCGTTCATTTGATGTACACTTTTTCTATGTTTAACAGCAAACATGTACACTTTAGGTTACAACAACTACACCCAGTGCGGGGCAATTGTTCATTCTAAAGTGATTATCAATAACTTTTAAACAAAAGTATTTTTTGATATAGAGCTTTCATTTTAAATATGTATATTACCTGTGACAAAATCTTTTACCTCGTGACGTTGATCTTTGACCTACTTTTCAAAAATGTTAATTATATTACGTTTGATTGAAAAGAGATTGGGTTTTCATATATGACATGTGCATTACCTATGACAAGACATTTCCGAATATGCTATGATTTCTGACCCCTTGACCTTCACGATTGACCTTATTACAAAAATCAATATCGGTGATTACATCTGAATGACATACATGTGTATGACAGGGCGTTAATGTTTGACACAATATGCCATAAAAATGACATCTCACCCACAAAGACACTGAAAGTGGGAAACCACATTTTTTTTAAAATTTGCTTGTTCTTTCTAAAAAAAAAGAATATGCAGGTAAACTTCTGTAAGAGTTAATTTAATGGTGTTCAAGTTTCTTTAATTCTGGGCACCCGCCGTAATTTTCAGTTTAAAAACAGTAAGCTTTTAGCAATGGAGACTGCTAGACGTACTCCTATTCCAAGAAAATGTTATAACAGAGAATTTAAATTTAGGGTTATAGGGCATAAAAAAGAGGGCAATACGAAAAATTGTATCACTTAACCAAGGAAGATGAAACTTATGTGGAATAATCCTCAGGTAGTGTAGATTCCAGTATGGTCAATTACCTTCGGGGGTAGGGGGACACAATGGCCGATCAAATTTTACATTGGAAAAATATTTAAAAGTCTTTTTTTCATCAGAACTGCTAGGCCCAGAAGGATAAAACTTATGTTGAAACATCATCAGGTAGTGTAGATTCAAGTTTGTTCAAATCATGACCCTCTTGGGTATACGGCGGGGCCGCTATGGAATAAAAGTTTTACACAGGAATAAATAGGAACAATCTTGAAAAAAACGATGTTTCTCTAGAACAGCAAAGCCATGATTGGTAATATTTAACTAGAAGCATCTTTAGATAGTAAAGATTCAAGTTTGTTAAGATGATGACTGATGACCCTTCCGACCAAAGATTTACATACTAGGAAAAAAACTTTATCAATCGTCTTCTTAAGAATATCAAAGCCCTTTTGTCATATTTATTTGCAATTGGAAACATCCTTGGGTAAATTCAAAGTTGTTCAAATCATGACCACTTGGGATAGGGAGGGGACTTTAGGTTATCGAAGTTTTAGTAAGAAAGATCATATAAACAATCTTCTCAAGAACAAAGCCATGATAATCATGATGATTAACTGATAGTCATTTTATTACAGAAATATCTTCAGTAACACTTTACTGTAGATCACTAGATTTTACTTTAGCAAAATAGTAATTAACTCTTTTTAGTGAGACAGAATATTCACGAATTTTTAGCTCTACTGGTCAGAGACAAGAAGAGCTTGTGCAATAGTAATGCGTCCGTCGTCCGTCCGTCTGTCTGTCTGTCTGTCCGTCTGTCTGTAAACAATTTTTTAAAATGCTACTTCTCCTACAGGTTTGGTCTGATTTCAATATAACTTGGCACACAAGTAGACTACACCAAGATACATAATTCTGTTCATCGGTTTTTGATTTCATTGAATGGTGTTGCTAAAAATAGAAATTTCTGTGAAATTCTTTCAAAATGCTACACCTCCTACAGTTTTGGTCTTATTTCAATAAAATTTGGCACTCAAGTAGACTACACTAAGGTACAAAACTCTGTGTATCAGTTTTTCACTTCAATGAACAGTGTTGCCACGGTTACTAAAAATAGAAATTTCTGTTAAATACTCTCAAAATGCTACTCCAAATACAGTGTTAGTCTGATTATAATATAATGTGGCATGCAAGTAGACTACACTAAGAACATAAAGAGACTTAATCAAGGATCATTATTCTATTTATTGCTATTGAAAAGTTTCAATTCCCAACTGCTTAAGTACTTTTCTCTTCCTTTGCTATAAGTACAAACCAGTAGAGCTTCATCCTCGACAGAGACTTCTGGTTGTTATTGCCCTACATAATCTTTAAGGTATCCGACCCATATTAGGACCAAAATTTCTAACCTTAAATATCAATTGTTTGTAAAATATCCTAATATTATTTTAAAGCATTTTAGAGTAGAAAGGGATTTACCAAGAGAAATTTTCAAAAATTTTATTACCTAAGCAGAAATAAATTATTGAAGATTGCATTGAAGTCTATGGAAGGAAGTAAGTTTTTAAGATAAAAAAAATAAATACTTCAAATATCAAAAAATGCCGTAGTGGAAAGATGCATTTGATCATTGGGAATAGAAAAACAATTAGAAATTATTTTTTTACCAGATATATTTTTTTGAAATTAATTTTTATTGAGTAAAATCAAAGGGAGATAACTCGTCAAGGGCAGGATAAGGTTATAAATTAGGACATGTCCCACTGTTACATTCTTATACTCAAAGATGAAAATTAGTTCTAACTACACTGAGTATTCAGCCCATACATATCTATTAGGCATTCAATTCCATTGAATCTGAGGCTAATATGGATCGGATACCTTAAGAATACTAATTCACATGAGAATGAAATTTTTGCTAGCACACTGTCAGCATAATTACGCGAAAATAAAGTTCTTGTATATGAAAGTGAAATACGTGTGCAGTAGTGGTTTCAAAATTGTTCATATCATGATCCCCAGGGTTGGGTGGGGCCATAAAATACAAGTTGTGTTTAAGAAACACTATGCCCCAAATGGAAACACAATTCTGGAGTGGTTCGAAGACTTAAGTGGTATACACTTACCACTTTCACAAGGGATCACCAGTAATATCTTACTGGACAGAGCTTCTATACCAAAACGTGGGAAAATCTGAACTGCAAATCTTCTAATGTTGTCTATGGAATAGAATGTAATCTGTGTGGACTTGTTTATGTTGGTGAAACCAAGGCATCACTTAAAAAAAAAATTTGAGGTCATCGATTTCAAATAAATCATGGTGGTCAGCAGCTTTTATACAAACATTTTAAGAGCCACTCTCCATAAGCACCCAAATTGGATTGAAAGCCATAGTCATCAATTTTAATAAAACTTTGGTAAATTAATACATACTATTAGCCAAGTATACTGGTATATGCAAAATGACGGGACATTGCTGTTTCCATGGAAACGAGCATATTATAATATTTGTCACATTTGTTATATTTCCTTTATAATTAACGTGGCTGAAACTCAGAAACGCATCGACACAATTCAACAAAACTAATACTGTACAAAGATTTTAGACATATAAGTTGACCTTCAAAAAATTGGAGTTGTGTTATTTTAAATAAAGAAAATATAACCTTGTAAAAATCTGTTTTTCAAGAGGAAAGTGCTAAATTTAATCAAGAGTTATTTCCCTTTGTGTAACACTTTTGTGTTTCCTATGAAAAAAAGGAATGTTTTTTATCAGAGAAGACTTTCAGATTGGTTTGCTGCTTCGTTTTTACTACAAATTCCTCTTGTTAGAAGATGTAATTAATTTGAATTCAGTTGATATGAATAATAATGACATAATACTAACAGAATATGGTATTTTGCCGCCCAATTCTGAAAATATGCAAATTTGTTCCACACATTTTTCTCTGCCTATTGAAACAAAAGAGTGACTGAGTGATGTACGAAGAAGAAATTAGGTGTCAAGTGCCATTTTCCTTCATTGAGCCTCCAGGCTTTACTCTGGTTTAAATGTTATATCATGTCACACTTAGTCCACGTGTACCTTCTTTTAAAGTGATCAAAATAAAAGATTTTTCACACCTGAGTGGTTCTCATGCCTTATATATACCTGTAACTGACAATTGTCCGTGTCTTTCGTGTTAAAGGCCCACGTGTATCTGGCCACTCACGTAGTGTGTGGCAGTATATACTGCGAGACAGTATAACTGATTTA